GGTGCCGGGGAACTTGTGCGCGCGGTGGGGAGGGTTCTTTGTTACTTAACGGCACGTTACACCTCCCCCCTGGCAGATCCGGACACTCCACAATGTATGTTTTTTCAGGTTTTTATTTAACACGCTACAATTACTCGCGGACTCGGAATTCTCCGTTGCGGAGGCGCTTGATGATGACCGTGCGCCCGGCTGTGCGGTGTCGGTATCGTTGCCCTGGCCGGATGCGTTCCCAGGGGATGCCGTCTAGACGCCCCTGGTTTGTCGTGGGCTGGCTGCCGGTGAAGTACCCGTAGTCGGTTGGCGGCCCCGGCACCGTTGGCTCGGTTCTGGGCACTGGTGTGGTCGCCGGCGTTGGTGGGGGCGTCGGTAACTCCGGTGCGGTTGGTGTTTCCGCGATGGTCTCGGGCCCTGTACTGGTTTGTACCTGTGGCATCGGCTCATCCTCCAGGTCGGACAAGGATCCGAATAATGCCTCTAGTTCGGAGGTGAAGGCGGCGGTTGTCTGGGCTGCGGCGCTGTATAACAGCTCTTGTCGAGACGTCGTCGTTCGTGATCGGGTGACGGCCGGGGCTCTACCTCTGTTTTCCACGCTGATGGAGGTGCGGACTGTCCGTGGTCGGGCCTCGGCTGGCGGCACGTACTGCGGGGCCTGCGGCGTCATCCTCAGAGGCGGTGTGTGTCCGGGTCTCCAGGCTCTCGGAGCGACTCTCTCTAGCTGCTTTCGTAGCTTGCCCATTTCGCAAATTTTTCCGTCTGTTCTCCTCGGTCCGTGTTCCCGTATATATACCCGTTTTGGTGTTTTGGTTTTAGGAGTCCGCGACACCCTTCAAATCCTTCACATGCGCGGTTCCTACCAGGCGGTTGTTTTGGTCTCGCAGGCGGTAGACGACCGGTGATATTGCTCGGTCGACGGTATACGGACCGGAGTATTTCGGCGCGAGTTTTCCCGCGAAGTGTTCGCCGGCCTTTGACAGCGGGTGTTCCCGTCTCATAACTCGGTCTCCAGGTGCGGGACGCCAGTCCCGGCGTCGAAGATTGTAGTATTGTTCCTGGCGTGATGTGGCGTCCTGTTGGCGCGCGGCGGCGGTTGCGGCTTCCTCGCGCATTTGATTTATTCGGTGTTCGCGCGTCGCGGTTTCGGGTTCCCCGATGTCTTCTGCCAGTGGCGCCTCGTGCTGCGCGCGCAGTGTCCCCGGGGCGGTAAGTTCGCGGCCGTACGTCAGCCTGGCCGGCGTGAATCCGGTACTTTCCTGTACCGCTGTGTTAATTGCGAATACTAGCTCGGGTAGTTTTTGGTCCCACCGGCGGTGATCTCGTTCGATGTACTGGGCGACCATGGTTTTTAACGTTCGGTTGGCTCGTTCCACTGGATTGCACTGCGGCGAGTACGGAGGCGTTCGTCGGTGTTGAATGCCGGCCCGCTCGAGTAGCCCTCGAAATTCCCGGCTCTCGAATTGACGACCGTTGTCTGTTATTATCCGTCTTGGGCAGCCGTGTTGCAGTAAGATGTGCTCCTTGACGTTTTTGGTGATTGCGACTGCGGTGGCTTGTCGTAGTGGCTTGGCGACGACCCATTTCGTGAAGACGTCTTGCGCCACGAGTATCCACGCGTGTCCCTCCATAGCAGTGCTGCCAGATTCCCCCTCCACGAGCTAGGCCGCGCATGTGCCATGCATGGTATATCAGTTACGTATATTATGGGCGCACAGTTTTGGCCTAATAAAAAATTTATGTTTAATTATATATAAATGTGTCTGTAAACAATTATTTTAATGTCTTACTCTTCTTTATTTTAAAGAGAAAAAGTTAGAGAGAGAGAGTGTGTGTGTGTGTGTGTGTACACGTGCGCGCGTACTTATGTCCACAGGGGCTTGTGTGTTTCTAATACGTTCCTGCATTTAACGTCTGAAGCGCATGCGTCGGCACATGTGGCCGGGTAGCCCGGCCAAATCTAGCAGCACTGCTCCATAGAACGAGGTAGCGGTCCGACGAGGTCGATCGCTATGACGGTGGCTGGTTCCTCTACTCGATGGTGGTGCATTAGTCCCGCGGTTTGTCGTTGTTGTACCTTGTGTAGTCGGCAGTTGGTGCATCGTCTGACGTAGTTGGCCGCTTTTCTTGTCATGCCTGGCCAATAATAATTCTGCATTAGTCGTCCGATCGTCTTTGTTATCCCTAGGTGTCCGGCGGTGTCGGCGTCATGGCACTCTTGTAGTGTCTGTTCTCGCTGTGGCTTCGGTACACAGAACTTCCAGGCGGTCGGGTCGGTGTCTTCGTCGATCGAGTGGCGTGCGTGGAAGTGTCTGTACAGCTGTCCCCCTTGTATTCGGTAATCCGGGTGTTTCTGCGGTGACTCTTCTACTGCCTGCCTCATTTTCTCGTACCACGTGCAGGTCTTCCCGGGTGTGCTGGCTGCTAATTCGTTGGTCGCGTCGGCGGCCTCCTCCCCCTCCTCTACAGGCTGGCGGGACAAGGCGTCAGGCACGTAGTTTAATGATCCCTTCCAATACTCCACCTCGAAGTCGTGTTGTTGCAATGACACGGCCCAGCGTGCCAATCTACCGGTTGGGTTCTCCAAAGATCGTAGCCAGCGGAGAGAGAAGTGGTCCGTTATGACTCGGAACTGGTATCCTTCTAGGTACGGCCTCATCTTTTCTATCCCCCATACTACCGCTAGGCATTCTTTTTCGGTGGCCGAGTAGTTCCTTTCTGCTGGTCGGATTGTGCGGCTGGCGTATGCCACGACTCGTTCTTGGCCGTCAATTTCTTGCGTCAGCACTGCCCCGAGCCCTACGTCGCTGGCGTCTGTTTGTAGGACGAACGTTTTGGAGAAGTCCGGACATTGGAGCACCGGTGCAGAGCGAGTCTGTCTCTCACGGTCTGGAAGGCCTGCTCCTCTGCGGCCCCCCATTCCCAGCGTACCTTGGCTTGCAGTCGTCGGTTGAGTGGTGCCGTTATGGTGGCTATATCCGGAAAGAACCTGCGGTACCACGACACCATGCCCAGGAATCGTCTGAGGGCGGGTACTGATCCTGGGGCGGGTATCTCGAGGATTGCTCGTACCTTTTCCGGGTCGGTCCGTAGTCCCTCTCGGTCGACCACGTGTCCCAAGTACTTTAGGCTTGCTCGGGCGAAGTGGCACTTGTCGGTGTTAATGCGGAGGTTGGCGTCCAGTAGTCGTTGTAGTACTTCCCTCAGGTTGTTCAGGTGTTCGGTGAATGTGTGTCCTAGCACGACTATGTCGTCTAGATAAGCGAAGGCCCTTGGCTCCATGTCTGGCCCAATGACGCGGTCCAGCAGTCGTTGGAAGGTGGCCGGTGCTGCGTGAAGTCCGAATGGCATAACTTTAAATCGGAACTGCCCCTCCCTGGTATGGCGAAGGCGGTAAGTGGTCGGCTGTCCGGCTGGAGCGGTACCTGCCAGTATCCGTTTCGCAGGTCAATCGTGGATAGATAGCGTGCGTCTCGAAGTTGGTCGAGGATGTGCTGTACTGGCGGCAATGGGTACGCATCCTTTTCGGTAACGTCATTGACTTTTCGGAAGTCGATACAGAAACGGTATCGTCCGTCCTTCTTCCGCGCCAATACTATGCCGGAGTTCCATGGGCTGCTGGTCGGTTCGATGCATCCCTCCTCTAGCATTTTGTCCACCTCGGTGTCCACGATGCTTTGCATCGCTGGGTTATACGTCCGGTATCGTTGGCGTATCGGTTCTTGTCCGGGGCGTAGGCGGATTCGGTGTTCGGTCAGTTGCGTAGTCCCTTTGATGCTCTCGAACTTTGGCAGGAATTCGTCAAGTAGCACTTTTAGTTGTTGCTGTTGCTCGGTGGAGCATTCGGTAATTCCGGTCGGTTCTTCCGGTTGGAGGGAGGCGACTCCGGGTAGGGTCCACCTGAATCCGGCTCTTCGTAGCAGGTGCATTCCTGCGATTACGTCCACGGTGAGCCCGGGGAGGACGTGGAACGTGTGGCTCCCTCGGTGTAGTCCCAGCTGCACGTCGGCGCGGATTTCCTCCGTGATCGGGCTGATCTGCCCGTTGGCCAGGTGTACGGCCGTGGCGATGCGGCGGCGGTGTCCCTGCTGTCGGACGCGGTTGGCCACGGCCGGTGAAATGTACGATAGTACCGCCCCGCAGTCCAGCAGTACCGTGAAAGTTTCTCCGTACATGCGGATTTGTCCCATTGGCCGGGGGTCGGTCTCGTCGTGCTCCGGGTTGATGTTGGGCAGGTAGTTCTTCACGGGCCGTTCGCGTGTCCAGCCTCGTCGGTGGGCCGGGGAGCGCCTGACTTCTCCTCGGCCCTTCCGGTGTTTCCCGCCCGGGTCCCGTGGCAGTCTCTGGTCAGTACGCCCTCCTTCCCGCACTGCGAGCAAAAGAGCTTCGGTGGACGCCGGCAGAACCGGCGTACGTGTCCTCTTTGTCCACACCCCCAGCAGCAGTCTTGTGGATTGTAGCCCGGTGAAATGGTGGCTGCGTGCGCGTCTGGCCCGGTCCTTGGCTTGGCTGTTTTATTGGCGGAGCAGGTGGCTTGGTATTTCTGTTCGTACCGTCTGGCT